TCTTGTTTCGCCACTCATCGAGCTGTTTTGGGGTGTGTGGCTCTTCGCCTGCGTCAACGGACGTTGTAACTGAGGTCTCTCCACTTGGAACACGCTGGCTTCCAAATGTGTTCTCTTCGTACATGTCTGATGGCCGGAGCTGGCAGAGCTGCAAGTGCAGCTTTTTCATATACTTCACGTGGCTCAAAGGACGCGAGGTCTTTTGCTTGTGATAGGCCTTATGCACAATGTAGCCATTCACGATCGTGAGGTCGATAAGCCCGAGCACCAGAGACTTATAATATTGTCGGAATCGTACTGCTCGCTGGATAGAGTACCGCTGCAAACGCAACTGATCATGCACCTCCACGCCCCCCATGAAGGCGTGATAATCTTTCACCACTCGCGGGCATGGGACTTCGACCGGATCCGCTCGATCTTGACGGACAATTCTATTCATCTCAAGGCTACCCCCTGTGCACAAGAAGTGAACTGGCCGCGAATTTCACCAGCTGATGGCCGTCATGTTTGGCACCAGCTTGGCCTTAGCAAATTTGAATGATCCCCGATCGATGGTATCAGGCCGAGTCTTCCTCTTCTCAATCACGTTCTTGCAATAGCCCAGCCGGTTTGTCATGATCGTCCCAACACAGTAAAACCCCATGAGTAGAAGTTGAATAGCCAACGCCACCGACGTGTAAAAGCGATCGACAACTACGAGTCGCATTCCTTGTTTCCGAGCACACGAATCAAACACAGCAAGAAGATTCCGTACTACCGCAGCCGGTCCTGATTTTATATCGGCAGTGTGAGCTTTGCTGATATGCTGCTTCTTACCGCAGTATACCTCAAACCTATATAAATGCAGCATAAATTTCATAACCCAATCAGCATTAGTCTGCATTATGCACCATTAGAAAAACTGGAGGCCAAAAAAAAAGTACCGAATGCAGTATGCTGTAACAGCATGAAAAGCTTGGTGCCCCACTTGTGGGGCTTGTCTTTCATATAGACACGCATCTTATTGAAAGATGAACGACTCGGTAGCATTGCCTCGTCGAACGCCAAGTGCGACGGCGCCACATACCCCCTCTGGAACGTCCTCTGG